TCGTTTCATGTGGGGCATGGTCCGCGCAGCTCTTTTGCTCTCTCGGCCTGCGGCCGCAGCATGCTGCGGCTGTTCGAGGTCATGACGTTCCATAAATCCATGCCTGGGTTTTTGGGGAAGACATGCCCTGAGGCCTGTACCGCACCAGTCCCGGCGCAGTGTTCAGTGCCAGGGCAGAGGAAAAGCGCGCTTCAATCAGCCGCGCCAAAGACCCGGAAAAGAAAAGCATGGCATGAATCATGCCAGGCATGATGACAGCGCCAAGCGCCCAAAAACGATCCCAAAGCGGTCCCAAAACGGTCCCGAAGGATCTCAAAGCAGAGCTTTGCTGACTCCGGTGAACTAGTGACCCAGGGGTTGGGTCGGTCACAAGCATGGCTTGAACCGGACTCTTCAGGTATGGACGTATTGCTTGTCCCAGCTCTTCGCGGAGTCAGCAAGCACCACAAGCCTTCGCATTAGCAACTGCCACACCTGAACCGGCGTGATTGGAAAGCACAGAAACGTGAATGCGAAGGAGCCTCGGCGCCCCTAAACACTACTGGATTAATTAAAACTTCCTCTGCGGGCCGTGAGGAAGCTTCCATAAGCACCGTCCCAAGAGCGATGCTGTGGACTCTGCCCACACACATACACTATCATACACTGCGCTTGGGCTGATATGCAGATTCTTGGCTGCCGGAATCCGCCAGTCCAAGTAGCTCGTATTGACAGAGCACGCCTATACAAGTTGGGGCTGAACATTAACAGAGCACACCTCTGCACCAGTTGCACCCTCACCGCCCCCCATCCCCCCCTACCTTAATCTATGACCACGGCATAAAACTTCTCACGGGCGAGAGGATGTCCAAGTAGATGCATCCACTGTCCGCGCTGTCCGCGCTGTGCGCGCTGTCCACGCTGTCCAGACTGGTGGAGGCCACGGACTTTGGCGAAGCCACTGACATCGCCTGTTCAATCTTCGGACTTGGCTCCTTTGACGTGTCCGTTACTTTGCCATTCTTGTCGCTCTCGGCCCTTGCATTCCCTTTCTTCACATGCCCTTCTTTCGACTTGGCCGACTTGGCTTTCGGGTTCAGCCAAGAGGAGAAGAGCTCGGTGAAGGGTTCTGCCACCAAGACATCGAATCCTCGGTGTCGGCCGGCGGCGCATGTGTCCACCCCGTGTCCACCCCTCCCCCCCCCGCCCCCACTTGGAAGCTGCTTGTTCAAGGAATTTTTGGCCATCACATCATCACATATACGGGGCGGGGACCGCGAACACTGCAACATGATCTCTTGAGTGCCTTTATGGGCTCCTACATACATACCAGCTTCATATGAAGCCACACTTCTGGTTTGGTTTTATGCGATGGTTGCTTCAGCCGAAGGGCCAATAGCGAACACCACAGAGCCAGCCCAAGTGCCCGCCATGCCATTCCACGAGTCCTCATCGAAGACGCCGCAAGCGTGCAGGATGCTTGCAAATGGCCAATGGGTGAGGTAGAGCGTGTAGGAGATCTTCAGCATGAAGCCACACAGCTGCCGCGAGCCCCCCGTGAGACTCGTCACTTTCTGGAACCTGCAGTCTTCAGGCGTCATCTCAGACTTACAAGAACCGGGAAAGAGTCAACAAACATCAGAGGCCATGGACACACCTTCACCCAATCCGTAGCGAGAGTACACATCAAAACGATTGTGCCAGCGTAGACCCCAAACGGTGAGAGGCCACATATGTGGACACGAGCGTCAGGGGTCACGAAAGAACGGCTTTAAGCCAATAAGGCAAAGAAGCATGGCTATCATACGCTATCATGATTATCATGGCAATCTAGGGAGTGTCCGACAGACTAAACGGCCGGGAGACTACGTCTTGTAATGTCTTGTACTACAACTGCAAGACCCCAATGTGGACAATTCACCTGCTGATCTCCGAACTCCTGCGGGCCCCTTTTCGCCCCCCCAAGTAGTCATGAACACTCCGGACATGTCGAACAGCAGAGTTGGACGAAAGTGGCACATTATCGGCACGACACGTGTTGCAGTCGCAGCTCATCAGCGAAACGAGAGCCAAGAGAAAGGGACCTGCATCTTCACAGGGGCAGCCGTGATAAGGAC